GATCTCCGGCCACCGTAAGCGCGGGCCTGCGGACGGCGAGCATGGGTGGCTCCCCGTCCGACCAGAAACAGACCTGAGCGTACGGCGCTTCGCATCCCGCGCGCGCCTCAAAGAGCCATCAGACCACCACAGATGGGGCCCAATAGGACCGATGCCGATTCGGAGTCGCGGAGAACCTAACGGGTAACCGGGACTCCGGCTTGACGTGCAGGAGAAGGAATGGGATGGTTTTTAGTCAGTAAGAGTCTGACAGTCCCTCCCGCCTCACCTAGGTGCGGGATTTCTGCCACCTGACCTGAGACCTATGACGTCAGACGGAATGTGGGTAGGAATGGGGTATGGTGGTGAGGGTTTTCTCACTGCTTGTCGAGCAGACTCGCACGACAGATCGTTTGATGGCTAAAGGTGTCATGGCCACAGTGAGAGGAGGAGCTTCCTCCACCGAAAGTTGGAGGAAGGGTAGTGAGTCAAAGTCGAAATCAACTAGTAACTGGTTTATTTCTTAACTGAATATATTTTATTCATGGACTAGCTCCTGCTCCCGATTTCGCTTGCGCTCTTTTAAAGTATTGAGAGCAGGTTTACAAATAATAAAAAATAATTGGTACCCGATGTTTTCCTGGTCACACATATGACACCAATTTTAGGTTTCTTAAAAATTACAAAATGCTCCATACAAACTTCCAGCCCCTGTTTTAGGGAAGTGGTGGGTTAGAAAGAAACAAAGCGTCGCCTATGCTACTTTCAATACTTTGTACTATCCCAACTCAGTAAAAAAAAATCACGGCAATTTCTAACAAAACAGACGTAGACAAATTTATAATATTATTATTAAGTATACCTTTCCATGTTATCTGACATATTTTTGACAAGTGAGTTTCATGCCAATCGATTATTGACAATTTATTTTTTATTATCATGATACAAAATTAAGGTATGCAAAGAGGCTGAATACTAATTTATTAACCATTGAACCTACTTGATTGAAATTCGGTAGTTTTAGACACTGGCACTGGAAAGAAAATCTTACGGGACAGGAACTATGCGTTAAATTTTAGTACAATTCGGTAAGTACAACGATAGTTTAAGACTCTGAAAATGAGGCCTGATAGTTTTCAACCGCTGTACTTATGTATTTGGAATTCAAATGGCGTTTTAATCACTGAAACCTCACAGGAATGATACTATAAGGGTAAAATCCCTGTGGGATTGTTTATTTTTTTTAAATCACGAAAATAAACTACATTGCATAATAAATATAACTAAATTGATTCTGATGAAATTTGTTACACAGCGTTGCAATTAACCTTGGAGAAGACTAATTAAAAGATCCAAAATTTGCCAGAAGCTATTATTATACGCGGACGAAGTCGCGAGGAACGGCTAGTGAAAAATAAATTGAGAAGTTTTTATATTTTTGCTTACACACGTTGGGGGCGGGGCCCATGCCTATGTTATACTTAGCCCTAATACCGGGGCATCAAATATTACCACTTTCTTTCGCAGTAACGATCTCGATTAACTTGTCAACCAAGGAAGTAGGTATCTACGGTAAAATGGGATGAATAGAGACGAGGGGGGTGAATAGATTCTCCTCTCGCAGGACTGCAGGAAGAAATCCCATAAGGGATATGCAGTACCTATGTACCTCTGTTTTGTTATAATATATATTTTTTCTGTGTATTGTCTGTGTTGTGTACATGAATAAATAAATAAATAAAAAGATACTAGAACATATTTCCAATATCTATTTTACCCCGTTTTACAGTATGTGGATTCGTCACGGAGTTCGGAGTACCTACGGAAAACGGGGCTGTAGGATTCGAAGCAAATAAAAGTTAGTTTTAAAAACAAATACTTTAATTATAAGTCGTCCTCATCTGAATATTCGTCGGAAGATATTTCTATGACTAGGAAAGGATCTTCAATATCAAATACAGTACATTCAAAGTTATCACCTCGCTCTTTTAACATTGCTTCAATGTCTAACCGCTCTAGTTTTACAGTAGTTTCTATTTTAATATTCGATTCCATAAAATCAGTATTAGTACTAGAATTATTATTACAATTTGGCATAAAACTAATACTATCTATTGGTTCACTGAAGTTAATTTTTATAGTTTCTTTTTCTTCTTTGATATTATCTCTACTAATTTTTTCCTTACCTATGTTATCTACTTTACAATTATTATTATCTTTACAGACTTCGTTATCTGTTACATTTATATCTAAGATTTCAACAGTATTCTGTGGCAAGTGTTTATCATCAGTAGATTCAGGTGATGAGTTTCCAACATTATCTAACATTGGTGACGAAGATTCGATCTTTCTCAAGATTATTAAATCTTGGGCTATATTGTCCACTAAACTAGATTGCGATGAATAATTCAATAAGGCACTGTTTTCATACGAAGATGCATTCATAACGCTATTGTTATTATTTGTTTGGCAACATCCACTATCACCTCCCAATAAAATAGGTCTCTCACAATTTATGTTAAGTTTATCATTAGCATGGCCAGTGACGGTGCTAGGAGTGTCTTGCTTATTTCGGTTTCTTTCAATTTGATTTGATAGTATATCGTCTTCACATTCGTCAGAAACGCTAGAATCATTATCAGATTCAAATACTACCGTACCATTTCCTTCATGGACGGGGTTCCTTAGATTTTCCATTGCTGCAAATCTGTAAATGATAATAAATTGTTAACTACGACTATATTACAGGCTGAGAGTGTATACGAAAATATATGCAAACTATCATATTAATACAGCCATCAATTTCTCCAGTAGGTGCCTAAAACCCTACAAGAGAGCGGCAAAAAATTCGACTGAAGTGCATAATTGTTTATTAGTATGTATATGTATCTGGACTTCATTGGCTGCCCCAATGTTCCTCCCCCTATGTTCAGCAGTGGACGTCCTGTGGCAGATATGATGATGCAGGCAGGTTTTCTAAAGGGGGTAAATTTTCGCATGACATGAGAGTGTCGGACTCTTACTGACTAAAAACCACCGTTCTTCTGCACTTCGAGCCGGAGCCCCGGTAACCCGTTAAGTTTTCCGCGGCATGATGTATAGGTTAGGAGTTTCTCTTGTATCGTAACTGCATGCATACCCATGCAATTACAATATATAAACACAATTTCTCAACATATCTCAACACCGTAAATAAAAATTCAACAATACAATTAAAAATGGAACAACGACTCATTGCATAGCATTTATCATTAACCTTAATTTGAACAAAAAATACAAACAATATTCACCTGTTTAGAATCTCATTTTCCTTGTATTTGGCTATTTGTTTATTTTCTTCAAGTTTAGCGAGCAACAGTGGGTCTTTCTCAGCCGGGTCGTCGTCCTCTATATCCTTGTCCCGCAAGAGGCTCATGAGGTCCTGGTACTCTCGCTTCTGTCGGCGCTTACGTAGCGCTTGCCCGCATTGGACGAATAAAGCTGAGGCTGAAAAAACATAATTAGTGCAAATAAATCTTAGTGTTGTCGTACTAAAAAAGAAAAACCTAGAATAATAGAACATTTGGCAGAATAAGTTTAAACGAGAATATTACGTTTCGTCGAGTACGGACCACCCTTAGGGTATATATGTTCTGTGGTACGGACACAATCAGACTCAAATGCAAAAAATCTAACAATGATTCGGAGATAGATGTGACGTGCAGTATTCAAAGTCAAAGTCAAAGCATTTATTTCAATTAAACCATAGTTTGGTACTTTAATAATAGTTATAATAAATAATAGTCTGTCAGTCAGTCCGTCAGTGAAATTAGGTGAAGGTAGGTGGCTATTCGTTACTCTTTTTAAAAAAAAGTATGTTCTACAATGTCTCTGATACATATTTCAATACTGTACGCATATGTAAGAACAATGCAAAGACACGGTTGACGCATTATACTAATAACTTACTAAAATAAAAATAAAATAAAAATCTTAAGTCTAACATGGTGCTCACATATGCATACTGACAATACATAGAAATAGTGCTTCTATACAAGAAAAAGGAAACTCTTTGTTTCAATAAAGAAAGAAATGCTCGATGCCGTATGCGCGACATATCTGACGACGAAGATGATCAAATTGATTTACTAAAAAACAAACTGGAAATGCAGACGCTTCAATTGATAAGTGCCCACAACGAAATCGAAGCACTTACATTAGAAATATCAGACTTAAAATGTATAAATAAATTGAAACTTTAATAGATTCTTATAGAAAGTTTATATGAAAGAAATAAAGAAGAAGAAAGAGAAATGGTTTATTTGGACACCGTCACAAAGTACAATAACACAAAAAAAATTAAACAGTGAAGACGGCGTAAAAAGGCCAGAGCTATATATGTATAATACATGGATATTGCACCTGTGCCGGGGTGAGTCGCTAGTAAGATTATAAAAACCATAAAATCATCAAATAGTGGTTATGATGAAGTCTCTACAAAAGTCATAAAATATGTCTCAGAAACCCTAAATGTCCACCTAAGCTATATTATCAACTTGTGTTTAAGCTCAGGTATATACCCAGATGCCTTGAAGATATCAGTGGTAAAACCAATATTTAAAAGGAAAAATAGCAGAGAAGATAGGGAGAACTATAGACCAATATCCCTTATTCCTATCATATCCAAAATAGTCGAAAAACTCATATACAAAGAACTTTATTCCTATATAGAAAAAAAAAAACAAATCCAATGCAACGAACAGAAGGGTTTCAGAGAAAACAAGAGTATAAATATGGGCATCTTTGATTTTTTAAGCAATATTTTGGTTAGCGTTGACAAGAAAATCCCAGTATCGGCTGTGTTATGTGATATGACACAAGCTTTTGACTACGTTGATCACAGAATCCTATTGCAGAAACTGGAGGCTTACGGAATACGCGGAAATATTTTGAATCTTATTCAATCGTATGTAAGTTATAGAAAACAAGACAGAAATTACTAAAAAAAAAACAAAAAAAGAGGATATCATCTCTCCTCTATACGGCGTCCCACAGGGCAGTGTACTAGGGCCGTTCTTATTTATTTTCTACATAAATAACTTGCCTAAATATGACAGTACAATGACTATTATTTTTTAAGGGGGAAGTCATAGAATGACTGCTCCCGCCTGGGTGAGGCGGGAGGGAGGGCAAAACATGTATTGGACACTCATCAATATGGACATATTTTATGCTTTTGTATGAATAACACATGTTTATGCAAATAAATTATCTTTATCTTTATTCTTTTTCTGTTTTCAGGTCTAGAAAAAAAAATAGCCATAAAACGCTCGACGAACAGATATTAACTAAGAAGTTAGTTCTTAATCGTTTCATGGTCAATTCAATTCTGGTTAAAACTCAAGGTTGACTTCTACGATGAATCCAGTTCAGAAAAGACAAGGGGGAGGGGAGAATATTAATTACATAATAACTAACTAACCTTCTTTAAAAATTTGGTTAGAATTCCAATCAAGATTATCCTCTCTGTTTGACGTATACACGCATTGTAGCACTTCTTCAAAGTCCGGGAACTTTACCAAGCCGTCATCACCGATGGTACTGTTAAGAAACCGTTCTAGTTGTTTAGCTGGTCCCGGATGATGGCCTTCTGCCACATTCAACCTGATCTCACACCTTTTCGCAATTGTCGCAGAACTGCCTTTGATTTCACATATTTTTTTGTAAGTATCCACTATTTTCTCTTTGAGCCTGAAAATTGTAACCAATACTGTTGAGTGTTGTACTTAGACTTCCATATCCATAAATATAAAATACCACACTAATATTATAAATGTGAAAGTTTCTTTGTTTGGATGTTTGTTCGTCAAGCATGCTGATACTACTGAACGGATTTTGATGAAATTTGGTATACCGGTAGGGTATGGGCTGACTTGGGTGTTACTATTTATCCCGATTAAATGCTCCTATGGAATAAAACAGGAATACGTGGGTAAAAGCTAGTATATATATGTATATATTAAATGATTTGCTGTTCGCTAATCTCGCTAAAATTAAAAAACAGCTGGACCGATTTGGCTCATTTTAGTCGCAATTTTTTTAAGTCCATGGTTTAAAATGTGAGACAAAAATGTTTGAAGCGGTACGACGTTTGCCTTGTCAACTAGTAAGTAATATAACTTATACTTACACTATAATTATTTTATAAATTTCTTTTAAAAAATTCGACTTCAACCCCTTTTTTGTAATCGGTTAATTATTATACTAGCAACAGCATCAAAATCAGTTCAGTCATTCGCAAGATAATTGCGCACAAACATACATACCTACATACAGGTCATACTTAGAACATCCTTTATTTTGAAGTCGGTTAAAAGTAAAACTGCTTCATTAATAGAATTTATTCGAAATTAACGATTGACTTCCGGGAGGAGCAAATACCTTATTGTTGAGGGTTTAGGCTTCCATAAGTCTCAGTACCAATTAACAACAATCATCAAATTGGGGCTTTATGGTATTAGGCTCGCACCCTATAGAAATGTGGCATAACATGTAGGTACAGAGAAACAAAGTTACAGTAAAAACAATCCTAAAATGTAAAGAAAAAAACTTACTTGCCACACAGGACATAAGGTGAAAATTTTGGACTATCAGTAGTCACTTCTAGTTCTTCTAACTCTGCCAATTCTTTCTTATATGACGCAATACAACGTTCATAAAAAGCTACAATCTTAGGGTCATACGGCTTATCATCTGAGACAATCATTTCTACATGGTTTTTGGGAACCAAAAGGTCCTGATCTATTCCATTTTCTGTTTGGTTTCTGGGAACCAAGAGCTTCGGATGTATTCCATTTTCCCTGGGGTTTTTAGGAACCAAATGGTCCTGTTCCATTCCATTTTCCTTGGGGTTTTTAGGAACTAAATGGTCCTGTTCTGTTCCATTTTCTCTGGGGTTTTCAGGAACCAAAAGGTCATGAACTAGTTCATTTTCCATTAGGTTTCTGGGAACCAAAAGGTCTTGATCTATTTCATTTTCTCTGGGATTTGTAGGAATTAAAATATCTTGAACCCTTACAAATTCTGTGCTACCCTTATATTGATTAATTACAGTGTTGTTATTGCTACATGTTTCTGTAAGATTAATACTATTAGGAGTATCATCTGATACTTTATACTGATTTTGAATATGAGTTTGTGGTATGAATACCTCAATGTCATCTTCTAAACGCAGATTGTTTTCATTTTGAGATGCATTATATTCAATGACTGCTACTGTTTTGGATATTTCATTGTCTTTGGGAACTGGATTCTGTATCAAAGAATTTAAGGTAAGAATTTGATTCTGTATTGAAGTACTATTTACAGGAAGTTGTGGCTCTTGAATTATTGGAATAAAGGGAATGTAAAAGTGTGTATTAATTTTATGTACAAATTTGTCGTTTTCTTGTTCTAATTTGTTTTGATTATTTTCTTTCTCCATTTTATTCCCATTACTTTCTTTTTCTACTTTACTTTCATTATGTTCTTTTTCTGCCCCATTTTCATTACTATCGTTTTCTTGGTTGCTTACATTATTTTCTTTATTTGAATCTTCTCCAGTAGAAGGATTAGGGGATGTTCTTTCACAATCTTCATTTGCTACGGAGCCAGTTGCCTCTACACTTGTATTCAAGATATCATTTTCATTATCAGAATTGTCTAATTCTATAACATCAGTCTTTGTATTATCAGTATTAGATATCTTTTTACGTCGTTTTACAGTTAGCGTTTTGGATTTTCTTTTTCGACTTCTTGTATTATATTTTCTCTTTTGTGGTTTGGGATTTTCTTGGATGTCATCTTCACATTCTACTACCTCTACCTCTGTTACGGTATTAAATGTGTTTGTTTCTGCAAAGTAAATGAGAGAATAGTTATCAAAAGAAAGTTTCTTAAAATTTTGTAAATTTATAAATAAAACACATAGTATGAATTACATTATGTGTGGGAGAGCCATGCTTCGATACGAAAGGGCCGGCTCAACCGGAGTGAATTGGGCCTCACAGAAAACTGACGTGAGGCAACACTTGCGTTGTGTTTCGTCGTGTGAGTGAGGTTACCCCCTACCCCTTCCCAATCCCTGAATCCCCAACAATCCTCAAACTCCTAATCCCTAAAAGGCCAGTAACGCACTTGTAAAGTCTCTGATGTTCCAGGTGTCCATGGGCGACGCCGATTGCTTACTTTCAGGTGATCGGTAAGCTCGTTAACCGGCTTATCCAATAAAAAAATATTATAAAACTAGATCATTGGTTGATCAAGATCATGGTAAAGGAACTTCCTCACAGAAAACCAACATGAAACAACACTTGCTTTGTGTTTCGATGTGCAAGTATGGTTACTAGAGGACCAATTCTCCCCCCCCATCTCCCCACTCTTGAAACCCCAACAATCCTCAAATTCCTAATCCCCAAAAGGCCAGTAACACACTTGTAATGTCTCTAGTGTTCCAGGTGTCAATAGGTGACGCCGATTGTTGAATAATTCATCCATACAATCAAATCAGTTACTACTAAAGTTAAAGTGTTTACTGCAGCCAATGGTGCTGCTGGTTACAGGATTAAAATTTATAATAATTTATGACAGCACAGGCTCATGATTCTGCCTTTCTAAACAATGTATGATAAATTACATAAACAATTACTTACCTTCACTTGGTCCAGTATGCCACATGTCAGTCTGAGTATCTGTTGAGTCTGAAAATTTGTTATTATCTCTCAAATTAGTAGCCAACGTAACAAAAGGCACTTTCTTTCTCATTCTCCCAGACTTTAGCTCTTCACACAATGTCTTTATATGCAAGAATTTGTGGTCGGGATCCCTCAGCAACATTTTATGCATATTTTTTAAGAGTTTAGTTAACGTTTTAGACTGTTTTAATATTGGATTTGAGTCTCTGTATAAAGGTACAAGCGTTTTCTGAATGACTCTTTCCATGCCAGCTCCATTTGGCATATTCATGCATGTTTGTATTATTATGTCCATTAAGTTGTTGTTGCGAAGATTGGCTCTAAATGTTCTTTCCGCATCGCTATCGTTTTTTGATAATATGTTAGTTTCAGTCCCCGCATTGTTATTATATGTCACTTCATTTGATTCTGCTTGTGGATCATCATCTATTACGATAGGTGAAGCAGGTTTCTTTTCAATTATTTTTACATCATCATCAATGACGACTACAGTGCCCTGGAATTAGTGATTACAATTGTTAGAGTTACAGATTAATTTTAGGGAACAACGATTTTCATTCTAATTTAATTTATTGATGTAGACATACTATTGTAGGTAAAACACATGGCTTTATAAAACAAAAACATTACCTAACTAAGTAAGTATAAGTACAATAATTTGGTCACAGGTATCGCTATAGCTCTTGTGTTTCTCAACAACAGAGATATTAGTACCTTATATAAACTATATAATGTATATTACAGGCCAAAATGTGCAGCTTGGCAGAAAAGGACTAAACCTAACCTAAAAGGACGTAGACTTGTAATATGTAAACAGTGAAACATAAGCTGGTCGTATTCAGGAAGCACATCCATAATAGGTACTAAACGTCGTGGATGCCATTAAAATTCGTGTCAGAAGCTAATATAAGGAGCCAGAAGTGTTAAAATTTAGTAGCCCACACGAACAAACGTTTTGGCTATTATAAAATAAAACTTTTGTTTAATAAAATGACAAATGCTTCTAACCACTTGTAATCTCTGTATTCATTTTCTATAGATCAGCTTTGAACAACCACTTACGTTATCAAGATCATCATCCTCTATTACGACAGGCTCTGAATTCATTTTGAAAAACTATGTTTAGTAATTCTGAGTCAAATAAATAAACACTTCGCACACGATTTGTAGTTTATTATTATTTACACTTTACACAGACTTTTGCACTTTCCATGTTCAATTTGACATTTCTGTTCTGTCAGCCGTGTGTCGGCCGTCAGCTGTGCTGTATGCCGCAAAGACCAAAGAGTATAATAAGTATAGGGGATAAGAGTTGCCACTCGTCAAAATTTATGCCAATCAATTTGAAACGCCATCTGAAAATTGAATCCTAGTATAATTTTTTTTTACTAACGTCTACAGATTATTCTAAGTATAGCTAATGCCAATACTACCAACAATGTACCTTGCAGTTTGGCACATTGAAGGTAGTATTAGAATTAGCTATGTCTGGTAGCTGCAAAATCAAAGAAGTTAATAATTACAATATTACATTTATTTTACAGTAAATACAAATTAACATTTAAAAATTATCAACTACTAGGGAAATATCAGACGATTTTTTTTTAAGGGGGGAAAATCATCGAATGACTGCTCCCGCCTGGGTGAGGCGGTAGGGAGTGTCAGACAGATAAGTAAAATCTAGAATATTTATACCTTAAAAAATATTTTTACAAAAATAATACGGCTTTAATATATTTGCAGCGATCTATGAGTTTCTTGTTTCTTGAGACAACAATACGTCTGAATCTTAGAATAATTCCAAATAGTACCTGAAAATAAACAGAAAGATTATTTTTACATGCAGAAATATGTATGTTATTTATTTGTTTTCATAGTCACTCAATACTCTTACTTCTAGTCGCTGTCTAGAACCATTGTAACAGCTCTGTTCAATGCGTTTAGTTCAGATTGGCAAACCGTGCAAGAAGGCTTCAAAAGCTCCACTAAAAATGGACTTAAAATTCATTTTAGTGTTAGTTAGTGTAATTATCGAGTATGATTAAGTGTGTGTGTGTGATAAGGAGACAGAAAGAATGCGTGCCACCTATTTTATATAGATTTTCTATGAAAAATTAATATTTTCATATAATATTAGTTTTTATAAAATAAAAACGGTGGCCTAGACCTGAGGTTCACAGGCTCTTAGGTTAATGCTTTTGGATGCAGAAACCTGACGCAGTTACTTCTTAGAGTTTAGTTTGTCATTCATCACTTGTCTTTTTAATCTCTATTATTAGTAAAGAGGCTGTTATCTTTGAACGATTATGCCAGCATAACTGTCATTTGATCTAAGTTTAAGGAATTATTTTGTAAAAATTGCAATATAGTATTAAATAAATGTGTATAATGTTATTTTACAATTTCCAAAAAATATTATTTTAACCCTAAATTTTAAAATAATGTTGCAACCTTGTTTGGAACTGTGTGGCCACTGAAAATATTAGTTTTGACAACAAAAAAAAAAAGTTTTGACAACATTTAATTTTAGTTTCGAAAACTAGATGTAGTTGACGGCCCGATTTTTAAAGCTGTCAATGCCTCTAAGTGTGACTGCCCTGGCAAAGACTTTAATAATTTATTATGCCGTTTGAATGTCAAATTGTTGATTCATTCAATTTCATTCGTTCAGAAACACTTCAGCGGAATAGTACGGTTTCAAATAAAATAAAGTCACACAAAATATTTTTTTTTCAGTCAATTTTCACTAGAAAAAGAAGAAAATGACGAAGAATCATCACAAAATAAATAAAAATAATTCTTAAATATATTCTGAATTAGTTGTTCTGAAAAATCTTCAAACCTTCGAGAAAAGAGCGTATTCCTTTTTAAAAGGCTGTGACTTCTCGGGTGTTGCGGGTGTCCATGGGCGGCGCTGATCGCTTATCATCAGGTAATCCGTCTGCTCGTTTGCCCCCTATTCCATAAAAAAAGGATGTCATTTTTATGATAGGGGAAACCTTTAATAGGCGTCTTGCTTTTTGGGGAGACACAGAACAAAGAGTACAGACCTATATAAAGTATAGACGAAAGACCTATTGGATTCTTACCTCACTTAACCTACGCTGGCCATCTTTAGCACCTGATAGCGACCACTGGGTGCCTCCTATATGGACCTGCTCAGTAGAGGTCCTGTCTCTATCTGGTTTGGTTCATTCTATGTACATAAAATGTATATTATTCTTACCATTACTTTGTAATGTACATAGGAAATTATTTAAATGTTAAGTTTCGTCATTATAACCATTGTGGCTGTTTTTGCTGTGTGAATCTACAATTCAACATCATTAGGTATTTGTGTTCAACACAGCAGAGGACTGGGTTCATCATAATTATAACTAAATAAATAAAATAAAAGACTAAAACTGCGGATAAATATATATTTAGAGAGGCCAATTAAAATCTATTGTTATTATTATGTGAAATAAACTGCAACATTAAAATTGGCTTGTTGCATTGCCTTAACATTATTATAATAATGAACGCTGTATCTCTTACATAGACCTTAAGTTAAAATACATTTCTTTATAAACTACAATAAAAGAAAATACTAAGCAATGAAAATGCAACTGTAAATGAGATGGATGATATTTGGGCGAATTTAATTCCAAATCTATACACATAATAAGAGATTTTTACATAGTTTACATGCTTACAATTCCGATAATTTCTATGAAGAAAAAATATATAAATATAAGGACTATTTTGTTCAAAGCACCATACTGGCCGCATTGATATTTATTTCTAAATTCAATACACTATTTATAGACGAGAAATATATTTTTTTATTTATTAAATTATCCTTCATAAGTTTCCACAATTTCGTAAGTTCACAATTCTCTTCGTGAGCGATCCTTAATTAACACAATTTACCCAATATCTCCACCTCATCTGAAAACAAGTATAATCATACATTAGTACAGACTTTGAATTCATTTACTAACAATATCTTTGTATAGGAACAATTAATTAGTATTCAATTTACAAATTCATATAGTTAGGTATGTTATGTTAATAGAAAAATATACAGAATTTTTCTAATTGATTGCATTCTTAACTCTAGCCGGCTTAGTTCAAATTCAAATAATATTCCAATTGACTTAATATTGTTTTTATGCATTGTAATTATAATAATTGACCGTAAACAATTATTATAGTACAGAAATATTGAGTTTCATTTTCATGAGGTATTGTTTTATTAGCTTTTATCTTCTTGGGGAACTTCACCGAAAGTAATAACCAATCCAATATATCTGGACTACTATAAAGTATGAGATATATCGTCCAAATAGGAGACCTTATGGTTATGCTAGATATAATGTCAAAAATCTTTATATTGAGGTTGGTTATTATTTACTTGTAAATGCTGTTTTCATAGGATAGGCAAAGGAGCAGACGGATCACCTGATGCTAAGTGATTGGCGCCACCCATCGACACGCGCAACACCAAGCGAGTTACCGAGTGCATTACCGGCCTTTTGGGGATCAGGACTGGGGAGGGAATATTCACTTTTAATTACTCACGTAGACACGGCGTTGCGCAGTGGCAGGCGGGCCCTCAGTCGTCGCGTGCCACGTGCCGGCGTTGGAGGGCGAGGGCCAAGTCGTGGTGCAGCGCCACCTTGCGTCGCTCCACCTCAACTGGCAGCACTGACCGGAGACCGTTCACTATGTCCTTGGTCTTGTCTAGATGTGAACAAAACAACAAGACGTAAGCAATGAAGTTATAATGAAATTAGATTATTAGTGCACTTATGAAAGTCAAAACAATAAATGCCTGCTGTTCTGGTCTATTGACGCTGTTGGATGCATAAAACAAAATACAATAAGGATATTATTAATTATATCTAATCTTGTAGTACTTCTCCGAAAATGCTATCATCAATGTCTAAACTGAATAAATATGTTGATGACATATGATTCAAAACTATTTGATTGGTTGCAGGATATACAAATATGGAAGGGACAAATGCGTTAGCATTTGGTCTTACCTTGTAGCATAGCTTATTACAATTGTAATTTAGCATACAGTATTCATTTTCACACAAAATGAAACAAAGCAATTTGAGTAATATTCCGAAATATTTACTTAAAGTTAAGTAACTGAGGCCTTAGTACGAGTTTGTTTTACGTTTAAAGTAATTGTAACGAGTACTCGTTCGGCGCTTTGATTGGCCGGCTCAAATGAACCAACCGAAAGTTATTAAGTAAAAGTACTAAGGCCTCAGTTCAAAATGTTACCAAGTCAAGTTTGTATTTAAGAGTAACACAATGATTTAGCTTGTTTTTTTTACCGAGTACCAATGTGAATTATGTATTGGATTACGAATGGAATAGGGTAGTTGAATTTTATTTTAATGCCCGTCTGGTAGATTAATTTAAAATAATAGACACGTATTTTTTCTTTACTCACAAAATTCAATACTTTCGACGATATAATAATCTGAAATAACGTGTGACGTCACAATACGCTACATTTTGTAGCACTTTGTGACGTAACGACCTCCCACTCCTAAACTTAACTCCATTTTATCTAATTATTGTAAATTTATACGAGAAAATAAAAAAATACGTCTAATATTTTTTCATTATCTAACTGACGGACTAATTAAATTTTTAATTTTCATTCCGTGGCAACTACCCTATTAATAAATCTTGATAGTATTTCAGCACTTAAATAGTCAGCTGTATCAGTCACTGTCCGCTCAGTCACAGTCAAATTTTGGAAAGAATGTTACAAAAAATATTTAAGCAAGATGTTAGTTACCGAAATAGATATCGTTGAGCGTGTTCCTGATCTTGTTCTCCATGTCCTCGACCATGCGGCCGATGTTCACGATGTGGGGCGTCACGTCGCTCACTGCTGAGTCCTGTTCCGCCTGGAATATTGAAATATTCGTTTTTGTAAGTCGATGATAGTGTAGACATTTAATGTGTACTAAAATTGTATGAGTAAGTACTAAAGTATATCAAGATAACGAGTATAACACTCTGTTTCAAGTATTTCTTGTGTATTATGTGTAGAGACAACCATAATCAGCTCAATTACTGTGATACATTTGTGATATATATGCTTTTGATGGCAACATAGCTAGTCAATATTAATCCTGTAACATCTTTAGTGACTACGATCTACAAAGAGAATTTATTTATATTTATTACAGTAATTTTTGCAATTTGTTGCACATAAAATGTGACTTATCCACAATTTTTTAGAAATCGAAATGAAGAAGATCAATGACTTAGTGTGGTTACGTCTGTGTCATTAAACGAGACGGGATGCAAACTGTAAACTTACAGACATAGCTCCTTCTTTTATTTTAAATTGCCCTACACTAGGATTTTCTCCTGTGTCGTGGTTGCGTTTACAAACATACAAGTTCACATACACAATGACACCCAGACCCGGAACAACAATTTGTGGATCACAGAATGAGTTGTTCCGTGTGGGAATCGAACCCGCTACACATTGCGCGGCGTCGCGGAGAACCTAACGGGTAACCGGGGCTCCGGTTCGACATGCAGGAGGAGTGGTGGTTTTTAGTCAATAAGAGTCTGACACTCCCTCCCGCCTCACCCAGACGGGAACAGTTATTCGATGATTTTCCCCCCTTAAAAAAAACACATAGCGCGGCAACCCGTAGCCCAGCCACAGCGCCAACCGTGCAGTGAAAATTAAACTTAAGTGCTAATGATAAAACAAAATAATTAGGTAAATAGTATACCATATAATGTTATGTATACAGACTAATATCAGTTACATAATAAATAATCTACAGCATAAAATTAATAATTAAATATATATGTTGCACTGTTGCTAAAAGGAAATCCGGGAACAGATGGATGAGATAATCTCCTTTTATAGCTATACTAGGTTTTTTGAAAAACAAACAAAACAACACTAAAGTTAAGAGGAATGGCAAAAGAGGAGTGGGACATAATTAATTCTACATTATTATTATTCTTGTTTTATATTTAATGAGTTTTATAATTCTTTTATGACCTTAATGAACTTATATAGCTATATACTTATATGCTTATTTTATACTTATCTAATTAGGATTTTGCGAAATTATGTTTTACTTATATAGCTATAAAATAAATATTTTCTATAGCAAGCACTCGTTTTTTAATCTCATTCATTCTTGATAACACCTTAACAATTAAATTTTGTATTTTTTTTTTGTGTGTGTATTTGCAATTGGTCTCTTGACCATGAGCAAATTTTTGGACGTCATTTGACTTGTAGACGATCTCTCCATTAAGAGATCAGTCTCTTATGGCATACGAGGCCAGCCTAGGAGTTTGGGTGGCCAAGTTCCATGAAGTCTTTACAGACGCTTTGTGTATGCAGGTATAGTGAGTTGGGTTGCCAATTCATTTATTAAATATTTCATGATATTGACTTAAACCCGAATACAAGGCTATGATAGAACTAGAAGTAGCCTAATGGGTTGCCGGGGCTTCGATTTGAAGTGCAGGAGTGAAACGGTGAATTTTATTCAGAAAGAGTCCGACACTCCCTTCCGCCTAACCTAATGATGATTTCTTCCAAAAAAAAAGAAAAAATGATAGTCCAGTAAATCATAATGATTGATAAAAAATATACTTCAAGTATTAACTCCCCAGATTTAGTAGGTACAGATAACCATGTTAAGTGTGAAAACATCACTTTTAGGTCCTGGTCTCATCTTAGTTTAATTTCAATAATTAAAAGAGTAATAATCAAAAGCAAAGTTTGTAAAGAGTGAAGTCTACTTCTCAACATATTTTGTGTAAATTACGATGGAACAGTCATTTTATGCAATGCGTACATACCTGTCTGGTAAGACTGCCTCCAAGGTTCATGGTCCCGCTGCTCTCCTTGTTAGTCTGCAGCCACAACATGGCCGTTGATGTGAGTTTGTAGTGAGCATTCCGACCCGAGCTCTTCTCAATCACCTCCACTACGTGAATTGAGTCCCAGCAACCTTTGATCTTTTGGGAACCATCGCCTGCCTTCTTAATCAATATTACACCTGAAATAATTTACAAAAATCTTCAATAATTATAGTTTTAAACTTAATAACAAACATGAACATTATTATTTGATAAAGAATACAAAGAAATGTTATCTTGAAAATTTGATATTGCAAAAATTGAAAGGCTAATAAATTTTAATAGTTTTGAAGCATAAAATCATGCATAGACTCATTATTGTATTACACTTCATTTATCATTTTCAATAATCTATAACAGTGAATAAATCTATCGATCAAATACAAATAGTATTAGGTTCACTTTCATAGTCTAGTATGTTCTCCTAAACTACACTTACACAACCTTAGAAAACTGCAAAGAACCTCAGAAAATAATAAAGGAAAATATATTGAAGAATAATCAACTTGTTATGTTTCCTGTTCCAACTTCCTAACCTATAATTGAATATCAATACAATACTAACCAGCAAACCCATGGTCCATGTCCCACAGGTACACAGAGCTCACTCCACCTTCGAAGTACATCTCTCTGTACTGGTCGAACGCGTGATTCGCATCGATTTCTAATTTCCTGAGCCTCTCTGAAGGCATAGACCCATCTTCCAGTGGAGGGTCGTAAGTATTCGACCATGGCGATCTGTACGAGTCTCCGTCCCTATTGTAATCGCACAACAAGTAATCCTTCCCCGTGCTACGGTCCTGAGCAATCTTTAGAGGCTGATCTACTGAAGATAGCAGGTCATCGCACATATTAGGCACCAGATCAATCAAATCTGTCAAGTTCTTCTCAATCTGCTGCGGAGGCAGCCTCCGCATCAAGTCCAACGCACAGTCCATTTGTTGGTCAGTCTGTAATCACGATAAAACATAACAGAGCTTTAGTAAATTCCGTTAATTTTGGTGCATTAGTCATCATAACAAATAGTGCTATAGAAGATAACGACGGTTCTAATTCACAAAAAGGCAACTTACCATGATTAGACGAGAATATAGAAAATGAAAATAAATATAACAAATTAATTACAATTGTTTTTACTGTTAGAATTGTTTTATTCTAAATATTAGGAAATCCCAACCCGAATTGATAACTTGACGTAATTTGACAAGAGCAGCTTACGTTTGGAAATGGTTTATAGGTTAGTGTCTCACTGTAACATTTTTTATTGTTTTTAAACGAACAACAGCTATTCTCGATAGCTTCACTTACTAAACTTGTAAGTTGTATTGAAAATTAAACATGGTCTAAAACGGCAATTAAGTTTTTAATACAAGTGTGTATACTTCTTCTTGTTATTTTTTTTTAAAATAAGTATTTTAGACGTTCGAATAATATGGAATTTTGAAAAGTGATATGGATTTGTGTAAACATGTTCTCTAAAGGCCGGAAACAGCTGGCACGTCACTATAAACTTTGCTGAGGAATGTTGCCGGATAGTGAGACACCGGTATATCTATTTCACTCTTTCACACTAAAATTCCTATAGGAAGAAAGAAAGCGTCATCTTCAATGAAAACATGTAACTGTTTCCGGTTAAATGTCAGTTTGTGAATGATGTTGTGTGTGTCAAAGTTTTGTTGTTATTACTTATAATTTCGATAATTATTGTGTATTACATAGATTAACACTTTTATCAATGGGATTGTGATCCCATTTTGTGTAAGCATTGAAGGAACCGAGTTACGTGAAGTGTGAATTCTCTGAAAGGTTTGCATTGTGTACTTAATTACACTTTATTTAAATGATTCACGTTACGAGAATGTTATCACAGTTATTATTATAAAGGTTGTATTATACGCGCCTAAACGGGAAGTAGGTGTAGTGAAGCCGCAATTAGCTTGTGTTAGTAAAGTGTATAGCGGCGCAGAGATTACAAATAAGGTAATCCTATTTGCAATAGGTTATGATCAAGTTATGGCCTCTAGAAACCCTATAATCGTTGCTGCTGCATTTCACTGTCATACAGCACATGCTCTATGCGAACCTAGTATGTTTTTGAGACAAACATTCTCTGAAATTCATGAAAAAAATTATTAACCCATAATTTTGTAATGTCTATATAGGTTCTGTGTGAAACAATAAGGCTTTGTGTTGTATAGTATTGTATTCAAATAAGTAACTGTGCCTGCTATGTAGTGTCCTCGTCAAGAACATTTGGTTGTGTTAAAAAGTATTAGTACCATAATCACTATATTGTCATCAACTACTTTTGAAACTTGTAAAAAAGTTTGTAACAGTAAATGAAAACCATTCTAGAAAGTTGATTAGTAAATTTAGAAGTTGTGTTGTATGAAAACTTCTATACCCTCCCTCATCTAGAATAAAGAATCATATATATCAATATCTATAATCAAAAAGTAGGTGTACTTCATGTGATACTAGCTGTTACCGCGGCTTCATCTTACAAACGGAGCTTATATCGAAAATGTTTATATCTGTAATACATCATACCTATATTCTTTAAATAATTGACTAATAATAACTTGTTATGCATATTATAAGATTCCAATAAGATTCAGATTTTTTATATTACTATTGGTTTAACTGGACAGATGAATATGCTAATATGCTCATTAGCTATATTTAAATATAGGCAAAGTTATGCAAAGTTTAGAACAGAATGAAACAATAATTCTTCTTTAAATGAATATACTTTTTCTTGTTTCATGAGGCATAGTTGTTTTAACCCTTTAACCGCCGACAACGTAATATTACGGTTTTCGAAAGCTGTGTCCGAATCGCCACATACGTACTATCTTGTTATTTTATTAAAAATCTTCTTATAGTGCACAAACTCCATATAAAATGTGTCAATTTCAAGATGTAGGGTATAATCTTTATTGTTATGGATATTTCTCAATGTTTTGAGTGATAAATACTGTGAAATTTGAGGTTTAATTAAATTGTGGTCACCGTCTCCATTATCTGTATCGCCAATCACGTAATTTTACGAGTACTAGGGATGGGGCGAATTCGAAAAATACTTAATAGGTTGTCTAAGAACAAACAAGGCACTATAGATATTACTGTCACTATTTGCAATGAAAGTGTATACTTTCATTAGAAAATAACCATAGTGTTACTTTGATGCAAGTATTTGTACTAATTAAAATGTATTTAAGTTTAAAATTATTTAATATTTATAACAATAATATAAAAATTTCATAACGCAGAACCGCACTAGTGCGGACAATCGCCGGTCGCCATCATCGTAATATTACGTGCGGCCAAGGAGATTATAGCGCTGTATTGTGAGTTGCCTTAGCGCCGTCACCGTAAAATCACGTTAAACATTTATCACTCAATGCAACTAGTGTTGTAAGCCCTTTTTTGGGTTTTTGTTATTTCTCAAATAAATCAACACAGTCAAAACCAAATGTGTCCATTATGCAAAGTTAGAAGATGGTGACGCAAAAGTTTTTGATCAGAGACCAAGTGATCCACGAAATGAATACTTTGCATCTTTAAAACCTTTTGAGCTGGAAACCGTACTGTCGGAAATCCGCTCAGAAGTTTACATGAAATTATTAAATTTAATACGACATGCTCGTGGAGCATCGTCACCGTCGCCAGCAGGAGAACGGACGACGCCGTGCCCATTTCCCGAATACACATTTTCGTATACTTCGTTTGAAGATTGAAAATTTTTAGATTATTTATTAAGTAGGTAAATAAAACATTGATTTTAATTAATAAAGAATATATGCATCGATATTAAGTGTTCCCAACACTGTTCCAACTTATACCTAAAGTGACGTGGCGCTGGAGGTAAGTTGAAAGTTCAGAAGCTTGGCGGTTAAAGGGTTAAGCAGTGGCATAACTACAGCAAGTTGTTGCAAGTCGTCAAAATGCCACGGGCTCGTAAGCCCCTGTTCATAGGTTTTCACTGTTCTTTTTCTTCAACTTCTCTCTTTTAATAGGCGAAGGGGCCCATCTGATACATTTGCATTTTGTGTAGATACATGACATCCTCATGAACAATGCCCTGTTCATCAGGATTTCTATCGTGTTAGAAAAAAAACTTTAAATACCTCAGCATTCATACTCAGTAATATTCAGTTCTAATTATTTGTTTAAAACCTTAGTGTGTTTCGTAACTTGTTTGCTTTCATAAGTGAGGTGGTAATTTTCAGTATTAGCGCGTATTACTGAACATTTCCTTGTCTTTAATAGCTGCTAACTAGTAGTAATGAGACTACACATTTGTTTTAAAAATGCAAAAATATGTTTAGGGTTTATAATGACAATTATGTTTATTTCATACTTCGGTAAAATGTTGAAAACTTTTAATCAGACTATGTTTCCAAGGCCAGAAAATAACCACTGACAACTAGTGTCTAGCATTTTAGGACCAACAAAAATACTGACATTCATTTAATAAAAATTTTGTAATTCTATTGGAATTTGAATACCCAAATTATCTATAAAATGAGTTTTCTAAAACAAACAACTGCATAACAACTATTTTTTATTAAATTTCAGGTGCAATATTAAGTAAACGGTTCAAGGCAAACCTGTCATGATGCCGACTCAACTGGTGAATCAGGATAACCACCAGAACGATGTCCGAGTGAAGACGGTGTACAATGGTGATGTGATGATTACGTACATCAACCACAACATCAACTTTGAAGAGTTCACGCAGGAGATGGTGGCTATATGCCGTTTCATGCCTGATCAGGTACTGCTATATTTCAATTATAATATGTTTAACTCGTCGAGTACCGGTTTTGTAGACACAATTATAGAACAATAGGTTGCGGTCACCGGTGACCGCTTGGTGTTTGACAGTTTAATTTAAAAATATGATACAGGTATACATCAGTTGGTTCAACTACCTGCATGAATAAATAAATAATAAAATAAATATAATTTTAATTGAATAAAACGAAAGTTTGTTTCCGATTGACAATTTATTAACAACTTGCTTTTACCCGCGTCTTCGCTCGCGTCACAGAAGGATAAAAAGCAACTTATATGACATATACCAAAAATCACACAGCGCCCTCTATACCAATAATTTCGTTTTCCCTCGAGAATATCAAATTTTTCCGGGATAAAAAGTACCCTATTATTTAATCCAGACTTCTTACTGTACATCTGCAAAAAATCAAACCAATCGGTTTAGTAGTTACGGCGTGAAAGCGGAACAAACTTCCAATTTATAATATTAGTAAGGATGTAGAATGAATGTATTAATAATGTACTGTAACTCATGTTTAATCACACTAAAAATTCATAAATTTTTATACCAAATTGTACCTAAATACTAAAGTAGACTATTTACACACTATACTTACTTTTGGTGTTGCTACAGCAACTCCTTACTGCTTTTTATCAAAATAGACTCAAGTTTAACACTCAAATGCAACTTTCAATCACATTTTAATTAATATGGCTCTTCAAAATTTTCCCAATAAATAAAACTATGTTTTATGTTTTGTAGGTGTTTACTATGAAGTGGGTGGACGAGGAAGGCGACCCGTGCACCATATCGACGCAGTTGGAGCTGGACGAGGCGCTGCGGCTCTACGAGATCAACAGGGACTCCGAGCTCACTGTTCACGGTAAGTTTAGATTTAAGTCTACATACAATAGAAGTGATACGACGGCGACATGGAAAACTAGCGCGGAGCCACGCTTGTGTTGTGTTTCGTCTAGTGATGATGCAACCGGGGTTTGAGTGTTTTTTTTTTTGTGTTTTTATAATAACTATCGTGAGACATACTAAATTAAGTTACCCGCGATTTTTAGTTAATGTTTGAATTTGGTCTGTGATTAGGTGTCCGTTTTAATATTTTTTTCTTTGCTTTTAATTATTCCTTGTAGTGATCATTATTTTCACGGTGCTAGATTGATTTGTTTTTTTATTTTTTAAATATACCTGAATAATCCTAATCTCTTATCTTCCTCTATTATTTATTATGAGACTAGTCTTGCTTAGTAGATCTACATTCGGGCCGACTAGTGGTAAATAAAGATGCGACATTGTAGTGTCTTTATGAAATTCCTTTAAACCTTAGCCTACAAGTACATCTACTATCTTACTATCTATATGAAATAGTAGGGCAGCCCTAAACTAATAAACGTAAAATATAAATAAAGTTGGTATAAACATACGACATATTGT